CTACTACTACTACTACTACGACCATGACTCGCTGAGAGTTACTTTATAATTATAATGCACGGCGAGGCACCAAAGTTGTTGCCGTTGTGGCGATGTTGGCACTAAAGCGATCGAGCTTCTCGTAGCCTGCGGAAAGCATTGTTCCACTCCTTCAGTAGGTCCCAGTCGCGAACTTTCCTCACCCTATGCAGGAACTAGGAAACTAGGAGTTTTTAAGGAGCCGCTGCTATAAAACCTAAGGAGTTCGTAGGATCCTTGGTTCAGGGCGTTCAGGGCGCCTGACTCATGAAGTACTCCTTGTTCCGACGATTCAGAAACCCAAATCACGAATCAAAGGATGGAGGCTAAGCTACACACGTAGCGCTTGGCAAGACAGTCCCAGAACCCGAATTGCGAAACCCGATGCATGGGTGTCCAGTTCATTCTGGAATTATGAAGCCGAAGGTTGGAATCCTTACTCTGTAGACGAAGGGCTTCAAGAGAGACTTCGGGCAGAAAACTTACAGCGACCATAGGAATTGGCTTGATTGCTAGGCTACAGCCAGCAACCATATAGGAGATTTCAAGGCGGAGGGTCCTTGTGCTGCAGGAATCTAGAGTATCCCGAAGGATCAGTTTTGCCAGTTTACTGTTTCGCGCTGAAGGTTTCCAGGCCCACGGCCAAGACTGTGCAACAAAAGCCAGACACTCTACGAAATTACACTACTTAGGACCAGTAGTAGACACAAACTGACATACCCAAAACCTCGGGTTGTCAGCCAAGCTGGGTAGCACAGTATCCCGAACCCCCAAAGAACTGAAACAGTTCACCCATAGCCTTCGAGGGCTTCGCGGTAGAGATCTTCGGACTCAGCCTCGGTATTTATGGTATTTGAAGAGCAATGGGTTCAAGCGAGAGGGCGATGCAGAAGAAATGTTACAGTAGGTAGCTAGAAGGGTTCTGGCAGCTTACAGCATGATGTGACATACGAAATAAGCTTAAGGACTCCTGACAGCCGATCATTAGAGGCGGTCGGTTCAGAGGAGGCTACAACGGCACTGCTGGTTTTGCGCCGCACCACGAGCGCAGGAAACAAACAGCTATAATCCTGGCAAGGAACTCCTGAAAAGAGCCCCTGGTTGCAGGCCCAGCGACCATATCGCCCTGATCTCGCAGCACCGATGCCAAAGCACAAGCCTCGCCAAGCAGGAAACGGGAGACCAGTTGAAGCTCTTACAGAAAGTCAAGAAAAGCATGTTGAAGTCCCTAAACCCAAATCCCAAGAGGCTTATTAGAGTTTAGGGTTTAGGATCCCTAAACATTCCGGCTACACAGCAACTAAGCTCAATGAACGAACACGCCCCTGATTGACATCTTCCGGCCAGTTGCGCTGTTCAGCGTCTCCGTGTGGTTTGGGTCGAGCTTCCTCCTCTCGCCTTGAGAGGGATCTGTGGGCATCTCATTTATTTTGCGATAGGGTTTCTTCAACCTGCAGGCATCCTGATTACTCACGTGAAGGCTCCAATGATCCTGATTGGGTTTAGGATTTTAGGGCTATGGTGCAGGGTCTGCTTCGAGGCCTTAACAACAAGATGCTACGAATACCTTCAACAACTTGACCGGGACTGTACTCCAAGTAGCTGTGAACAGAGATGCCTCATATAGCTGTAGATAGCGGACATTAGCGAACTACCCACGATCCTTCAGGATTCATCATTGTCTCATCATACCAGAGGGTTTGTAAGTAGGAGATTCGAGTTCGAAGAAGATGGCCAAAAGGACACTTCTGCACCATTTACATCTTCGGGTTCCCACACCCATAGACCCGGGCTCAGGATTTAGACAGCTCGCTTTGGATCCAAGTCCACGGGGGCTGGGAGGGTTTAGGGTTCAGGGCGGCTGTTTCTTTGGGGTCACCAGGGTTCAGGGTGTAGTGCTTCAGGGCGCAGGGAGTAGGCTTCGCACAGGAACTAATTTATCTGCGCCCTAGCCTTGAGGCTTTGAGCTGGAGGCTTCCAATATTGCTCACAATCGGAAAGCAACACGGAGACATCCGAAACGAAAAACCATAAACCCTTCATGCTAACCCACCAAACCACAATTTGCAACTCTCACAATTACTAGAGTCAAGCCGGCCGAGTGACGCAGAACGCGTCGATGGAGAGTTTCTGCCTGATTCAACTGCCGAGATTCTGGGTTTTGGCGGATGTATCGACCCATTAGGTCCCATATGCTCCCATGTTTCAATGGTCTTGACCTAAGGCCCTACGGCTCTGACCCCCGAAACCCCGACCCAAAGGTTGAGGACTCCCGGCTCTGAACCTCAAGCCACTTCAGCGGAAAGCAACCTCTTGAAGGCTAAAACCCTACAACCCTAAACCCTACACCCTAAACCCTAAATAAAACCATCAGCCCTAAGCTCTGAAGCCTGAATTCGAAGCGACACGGCTGACGTGCAAAAAACGGGACCTCGGAGAGCTTGCCACGCTCATGGAGGAGAGAGCCCAGCTGGCTCAAGGAGGTCAAAGTACTGTCCTGCATCCTTGAGCTGGACGAGGCGGTACGAAGTTCGGGGTCAAAAATGCCGGGGATAATGGTTTAGGATGGTCTTATAGATGTGGGATGAAGTTTAGGGCATCAAAAAGTGGCATACGGCGCATGCATATGTATGTGTGTGTGTGTGTGTATATATATATATATATATAGATTTCGATAGATTACGAATTCATTGCTATGTGTCTACAACTATAGACAGACAGATAGATAGATAACGATAGATAATGATAGACAACGACAAATAACAATCGATAATGATAGATAGTGGTAAATAATGACAGATAAAGATAGATAGATATAAATATAGATATAGATATAGATATAGATATAGATATAGATATAGATATAGATATAGACATAGATATAGAACTGGATATGGATATGGATATGGGTATGGGTATGGGTATAGATATAGATACAGATATAGATATAGATGTAGGGTCTGTACACCAACTTGCATATTAGACCCAAGATCCGGGGTCTAATGTGCAAAGTTGGTGTACCACAACATAGCAAACCAGGGTGGCAGATTAGACCTTGCGCCCGGTGGGAAGGCCTTGACCCATCGCGATGCAGTCCCACTGATTGGGGTGGGTGGGGTGGGTGGGGTGGCCGGGGTGGGTGGTGGGTGGAGGGTGGGGGTGGGGTGGAGGGTGATGGGGTGGGTTGTGGGCTGTGGGATGTGGCTAAGGCTGGGGTGTGTTGTGGTGGGGTGGGAGTGGTGGGGTCCGGCGAACAGTCGCGACACACCAACAAGACATGCAGGCAAGGCAGCCTAGTAGGGTTTGGGGTTCTAGGGTCTAACATGCCAAGCCGACCTAGGGTTTAATATGCAAACCGTCGCATCTTAGACCCCAGCTCTTCCGATTGCAGTAACCCATGATTTCAGAACCTCTAGTAGCTGAGGGATATGATATAGATATAGAAATGGATATGGATATGGATATGGGTATGGGTATAGATATAGATACAGATATAGATATAGATATAGATATAGATATAGATAATGATAATGATAATGACAGATAATGATCGATAATGATAGATAGATAGATGGATGGATAGATAGATAGGTAGATAGATAGATAGATAGATAGATAGATAGGTAGAAAGATAAAGAGGGAGAGATAGATAGACAGACCGATAGATAGATAGGTAGATAGGTAGAGAGCTAGACAGACAGATAGATAGGCAGATAGATAGATAGGTAGATACAGTAGATAGATAAGGTAGATAGGTAGACCGGTAGATAGGGTGTAAGTATCTTTTGGTCTAAGGCTGGCCTTGGCCTGCAGATGTTCTCTTGTCCCGTTTTCAAAGCCCTTGTTGGTCTGCTAAGGGGGGCTTAAGGCTTCGCTGCTGGGCTGTGGCTTTAATTTTGTTTCGTCCTCTTTTGCTTTGAGTGTTTATGGCTTCGGGGAATGTGGCGTCTGGGTTTCTCATCGAGCTTCTGGGCAACATCGGAACCTAAATTCACTTCCCCTGCGCAAGACTCATATGCAATAGCAGATCATGAATCTATTGCCCCCCCCCCCCCCGCCGCCCAACCCTAGAATACCCACCCTAACCCCCAAGTCCCCACCTGAGAACGGGCCTCTCTTGATGGGGCTTTCAAGCTCAGGCTGGAATCCCCAAATTGAATCCCTCGACCCAACCCTTACGCCAATGCCTGAAAGCCCAGACCAAAAGGACAAATGGTTTCCCTTTAATGCTTTTAGGATCTGCGGCCCCAAATCCTGACCTGAAATATCAATCCACTGCTGTGTTCAGGTTTTGGCTGCGCATTCTTGGCTACACTCTTGGTACGATCCTTTCCGGTCGCCGAAACTTCTCTCCAGTTGAGCGGTGCAGACTCCCAAAGACAGCGTGCGACCCCAGTGAAGCGCCGCAAATTCAAAGCCCCAACGTCAGCAGAGGCTGCTTTGACATAGTGAGCATGTGAGGCTTTGGAGATTTGGGGCCGAGGCTTCGTGAAAGTGGTTCCGGGCTCTTAGCGCCCCCAAACCCTCGATTGGCCGAGAAGCATGCGCTCTTGAAGAGTTTCAGCCTCGTCAACCTTGTTCTGCGCCTGCAGAACCTTCGCCAACCTTAGGACAAAGTGAACGTGAGTCGTTTTGGTGTCGAGGGTGCAGGTTCTTTTTGTTTATGACCTAGTTTCGGACGACCGTACCTATACTAGAGGGCTTCTAGTCCGGAGGAGTGGGTAATGAGGTTCCACAAGGAAAATAGCTAAACAAGGAGGCTTCCCGGCGCACCGCGGTGGACTTTGTTGGGACAGGGCGCTTCGGAGTTTCCGTCTTTAGGGTTTGGGGATCCATGAACACACAAATTTCACACCTGCGCGGCTGCGACACCTGGCCATTTTGAAGCGCTCCTAGATTGAATAGAAGACACTTTAGGATCAAGGCGGGCATGACATATCCAGTTTCATCCTAAGGGAAGCACAGCACACTCTGTTATTGAAGCCCCACCAGAATCAGTGCAGGCATTGATCTTGACCCGAAGGTTCAAAGACTTAATTGTGTGTCATGGCCTATGTGCAGAAAGACTATATTAAAGCCTGTGCAGCTTCAGTCGTAGGTTAGTCGAGGTGCTGGGGCCGTTGCGCTTACGGCAGCACCCTTGAACTCGGACTCTCGGACAACCGAAGCACTGAAACGACTGATGGACGTTAAGCCTCTGCTTGAAGACTCACATGTTCTGATAGCCTATCTGCTGACATTACGAGCGCATGTGACCATAGTGGACCGACTTACAATACGCTCATGTTCTTTCTTACTCGTGAAGATTCAAGGAGTGTCTGAGACTGGGCAGGAGGCTTATAAAAGGCCTGATGGTTCATCCTTCCGGTGTGTTAACCTTCCACTCCCCACATGGTCTCATAAACTTTGTAGGGTTCGGGCCGCAAGGTTCTACGGTTAGGATCCAGGTTCATGGTTCTCACCCTATCAGCTATCAGACGTTGGGGTGGACAAGCCCAAACCCTCCACCCCTAAACCCTGAAACCACCGCTTTTTGCTCGCTGTGAGGCGTGTTCACGTAGGTCAGGGTTTCTGGATGCACCTCGCGACCGACTGGGGGGCACTTGCTGGAGGTTTTGAAACCTTTCCTCTCTCGTCTTTGTAGTGTGTGGAGCTCTTTGGTTTGGTTTTGCTGGGGTTTGGATTCTAGTCCGGGAGGAGTCACTATCCTTGAGACTGCAAAGAAACTGTAGACTTTTTGCATCTATAGGGCATCTTTGGGGGACGCACATCATACAACGGAACAAGACGTAGAGGGAATCAAACGCAAGCATTTGACGAGTTGTAATACCCAAAACCGTAAACAGTGCCGGCCAGAAATAGTCGTCTTTGGTATTGACCGCTTTCCTTGGCCGGGACCCCTTACCCAAGTTGGCCTTTTATCGGGTGTTCCGGGTTTGGAGAGCTTTCCACACGCCATGGCGCAAGAACACATAACCTTGGACACCTATGTCAGATCCTTCTGAATGCAACCTTGAGCGGAGCTCAAGCCCTATACACCCTATACCGCCCCCCCAACCATGGTTCAACCCAGACCGCTTACAGCAGTCTCAACAAAAGCCTGAACGCTTCCGAAACCCCAAAATATCCAAACCTTAAGGATCCGAAGCCTTCAACCCATAATGCAGACACTTGCCAAACCTTGAACTGGATCCGTCGAGCCCGAAAACACCAAAACCCCTGAAACCCTAAACCGCCCTCAAGCCTCAAAGCCCTTCGACCTCTACCCGAAACCCCTAAACCCCAAACCCAAAACCCAAAACCAACAAAAACCCTAAACCCCTAAACCCTAAACCCCAAAACCCCTAAACTAAGCCCCGGCCTGGCCAAACTCCTTCTCCCCACCAAGCAATGCTCGGCGCCCGAGGTCCTCTGCCTGGGCTGGAAAGGTTCGGTTTAGGGCTTCGGGGTTTAGGTTTTAGGGTTTAGGGTTTTAGGGTTTAGGGTTTAGTGTTTAGGGTTTAGGGTTTGGGGTTTAGGGTTTAGGGCTCAAGACTTTGGGCTTCGGTCTTCGGGTTGAGGGTTCTGTTATTGGGGCTGTTGTACGGCTCAGAGTTCAAGGGTTGTGGGTTCGGTCTTAGGTTCGTTCGGGCGTGCGGCTAGTGGAGGAGGGATCCTCCAGGCTTCCGAGTGCATAAGATTTAATTAGGACATTCGCCGCGGCCAGGGTTTAAGTAATTTGGTAGTCGGCAACACTGCGCTGCAGGGCTTACGAGAGCGTTGAAGAGCAGGGTCGCAATCCGAACACCAAACCTTACCTTGAGCCTTACATCCCAAGCCACAAGCATAAGCTCGAAACTCAAAACCCCGAGCTCAAAGCCCTAGACTTAGATCTATGTCAAATCTCTTCGAAGCCTTTCAAGTCTGCGCAGGATAGTTGCAGGTCGAGGTTTCGGGCTTGGCTTCTCCATGGGTGGCAACTGCAGGGAATGGCTCAGGGTTTTCGAGTTGTTGTGTAGGATCGGCTTCGTTGTAGGCTTTGGCATGCAGAGTCGTCAACCATGCCCTTCCCACATACGAAGAACCACACCTATCCACACCTGAGATTTTAACATAACCGTCAGTTTGAGGCCGACAGACCGCTGCTGAACATAGAAGTCTAAAGACCTTCTGAAAGTCCTGAAGCTCTGCCACTTCTGAGCTCAAGCATCATTACAAGCTCTAGGTCCTACTAAACTAAAGCCCCGAAGCTACAAGACTGCCAACCCTTGAATCACCCGTAATTCTTGCCGGCACTTCAGCAGCAAATCTCAGCACCGACCACATGGGCATTACCGATGATTCTTAATCCCGATACTTATGACATGATGGTGATAGTTGCCACCTATATCCCGAAACCCCAAACCCGGCCATTTGTTCTTATCTCCCAAGCCCTCACCCATCTGCAGTCTGGGAAGCCTCGGACAATTTGGCCTGAGCTTGAAGAACCGATGCGAGACCTCAGTCGAAGCGGAAGCCGCTTAGGCTTCTACTACGGGGGGTAATCTGCTTCAAGGTTGAGGGTTCATCTTGGGAAGGATTTTCCGGGTTCCTTCGCGCGCTTCTCGCTTTTTTGCGGGAGGCGGAGGGCGGTCTGTCTCTCTCTCTCTCTCTCCCTCCCCCTCCCTTTCCCTTTATCTCTCTCTCCGCTCTCTCTCTCTCTCTCTCTCTCTCTTTATCATTCTTTCTTACTTTCTTTCTCTCTCTCTCTCTCTCTCTCTCTCCCTTTCTCTTTATCTCTTTCTGATATCTCTCTCTATCTCTCTCTGGCTCTCTCTCTCTCTGGCTCTCTCTCCCTCTCTCTCTCTCTCCTCCATGTTTTCGGAGCTTGTAAGCTGTACGCTCTGCTTATTGGGCTCGGCCCCCCCCGAAGGTATACCTAGAATGTGTACTGCGCGATTCCATTTTTGAACTTCGTACCCGCTCTCGCATACCCCACACTCAAGAGTACCCTGGGCTCCATTGAGGTGGGAGGGAATGCATGCGAATCATACAGGGGCCACAGATTTATTGCTTCACGTGGGGGGGGGTGTAGGATTCTGATTATGTATAAAGTTATTCTCGGCGTAGAGTGTCTTGTCAGGTTTTACACGCTCCAAAATCAAGAATCAAGCATAGACGTCGAGTGTAATCAAGAATGGAATGCACATGGTAAGATCTACTACTCACTGAGGCTCCTACCGTAGCAACCGAAGAAACCCTGCAATAGGAATGCACTGACTTGAAATAGGGATCTTGTGTGTGTGTGTGTTGTGATGATCATAGCCCTCACCAAAGCCCATTTCTATCAGGGATCTCAGTGGAGCGTGAAGGTCGATGATGTACTCCACTGCCAGTTCTGGATGATCAACATGATTGGCAACGTAGCCTATGGGCCCGGACCAGCATACCCTCGCAATTGTCCAACACTCTCCGGGCATTAAGCCGTGGGGAAATGAGACGGTGTACAGCCACTTGAACCCATCATACCAATCGGTAGGACGCAGGAGAAGCAATCGAGAAGCCCTCAAGACTCAAACCGTCACCCCGACGCCATAAACTCCTAAGCCCTCAAACCATGCAGCTTCTTGCGGCCACAGGGGCGGCTACAACAGGCCAAAGTCAGAGGATGCGACTCACAGAGCTGCTTCTGCCGCTCCTTCCGTGCACGCGGGGAGGGGGAATGGGGTTAGAGCTGTAAGGTCGATTGAGGCTTAGACCGCAGGTGGGTTTGGTTTGGGGTGTGGGAACCATATCGTGGATTTCATGGGTCCCATGCTACTTTCAAACTTATAAGTCTGAGGTACATGGTTGCAGTTTTGAACTACCAGATCTGGCATATACATGCTTATGGCAGGAATCAGGAAGCTGATGTCGGAAATTCACCCGAAACAGAAGTCTGTTTATCCATCTGCAGTTGACAACATCAATAACAATCGGCGGCTTCGGGGCTAGGAAGACAACCGCAGAAGCCCCACTCGACCAACACATCATCAAGATACGGGACGTCTGCAGCAACTGCTTCAATCCCAAAAAAGAGTCTGTGGTTCCAAGGTTTTGGCGGCCGCGTCTTCGGGATTATGGTTTGCTATCTTTCAGGATCTGCTCGCCGTGTCTGTGGATTGCGGGGCCAAGGGCGGGAGGCATGGGCTGACAGATAGCCACAATCAATATACATAAGACCCCTATTATTACCCCTTGTTGAAGTGCCTGACAACTGTGGTGGTCCTGCAATTGCATGCTTGCTAAGACCGTTGACTATACCAAGGGCTCAAAGCCGAAGCTTCGACAAGATGTGTTTCACAAACATAGCGGTAAGCTCCAAACCCCCAGAATCCTCAGCCCAAGCCCTAAAGCAGTAATGCATCCTGACCACGCTCACCTTTTGACTTCTAATTTTCCCTGAAAGTCCCAGTCCTTGAGAGCGCGCCGTTGCAGTTCCTCGGCCTCCTCCAGTTGCCCCTGCTCCTCTGACCACGGATCTCTATCACCATAACATGTGTTTACGAAACATGCGTTACACTTGGGGCTGGGGCATTGGCTCGAGAGCTAGCGGAGCCCTAGGTCCTGACTCTCATGCTTATGGCATGGGTACACTGAGCGCCTGATCCCCCCGGATCTACCCACAGGTAGAGCAATGCTGCCGTTGAACTTGCCGTGTTATGGAATATGCATGAACTCTAATCCCTAATCCTTCCGGCAGATCCACAACAAGGATCCGTTGGAGTGCAGAGCTTTAGCATAAAGATTCAAAGTGTTAAACTGTTTGGTTTTCGGAGGCGTGGGATGTTCGAGCATGAACTGAAAAGCCATGAGCACCTTCCATGCACGGGCCTTTGTTGTGCACAAACTCCGGGACAGGTAAACCCTTGCAAAACTGACTTCAATTCGTTGATGCAAACGAGTTCCGAATCCTTAACCTGGGCTCTGGATTTGCGCCAAAGAAGCAGCTTCATATGCAGTGGAAACGACCCCAAACTGAACACAAGGACGCTAAAGACTTCCTACTAGTCCAGTGGCCCTGGGCGGCCTGGGAGGCTACCGTAGCTTCCGCGCTTCTAGGATAAGCTTATCCTGAGATGCCCTTCATCAGACGATTCTACATACTACTTTTGCCAAATAGGCAACAAGGATTCCAAGCTTTTCTCGTATTGGACCAGGATTTGTGGATTGTTTGGAAAGACGATGTAGGTAATTAGGAGTCGCTGGTTTGTGGCGCGCGCGGGGGCGCCTCAACCTGCAGCTTGTTTGAGACTGTATCGGAAGGCACCCTTGGAAAGTGTAGAGTTCTTGTTTGACTCCGACGGGATGCGTAGTGTAGGAAGCTATATATGATTGCAAGTTTCCTAAATTGCGTCGAAAGGCTTGACGGGCAGTGGATGCCCATCATGAGACAAGAAGGCTCAATCGCAGAAGCCGCAAGCGCATCACATTGCAAGCATCATGTCTGACCCAGTCACAGAAAAAGCCAAGTCATGCTTCGAGCCCTCATCCAATTCACGCAGGTCCTAAACCTAAGCCCCGAAACCTCCAAATTGTCCTGAAGTGATCCCAAATCGCGAACCCCAAAACCAAACCTCCCCCAACATCCAGTATGGGCTGTTCTTGCAAGCCGCTTAAGACGAACCAAGACTTCTGGTTCGCTCATAAGGAACACACTTTGCGAGTTAAAACAGAAAGGAGTATACTCTACGACTCTACGACTACGTAGACTACATGGGTAGTTCTCTAAATTAGGGTCCGTTTTGGGGTCCTTTTCTATCACAGTGCCGTACTATTTGGGGGACGTAAAACGGGACCCTAGTTTAGAGAACTAGCTGCATACTAAGGAAGGAATGTGCGCGTCGTTTTCAGCAACGGCCTAGAAGTACATCCCTAAACCCTGCATGAGGTACCATCGCCGCTCCTGGAGCAGCAAGCCCAGCTGCGTGACTCTCTCCGTGGTCTCCGCATCAAGGGCTCCGAGCTGCTCACAGCCTGTTGAAATGTTGGGTTTAATGGTTTAGGGGGGTTGGCCAGCTTTTCCAGTTTTGGGCTTTAGGGTTCAGTTTAGGGCTGCTGAAGAATGTGGGTTTTCAGAGGCTACGTTTGGGGTTTCTCGATTTATAAACCCTTGAATTACAGGCTTAGTTGAATCATGACATTGTCGGTTCAGGGACCTGGAGACCAGGGCTTCTAACTTCGCAACAGGTCCATGGCTTGGATTTAGATCTTTCAAGCATCAGCCTCAGGACATGATGCTGGCCCGACGACGCCGCATGTACCAGCCAACAGCAAATATGCAATTTCAAGCAGTCAAGCCTTCAGGCCCTTGCTTGGAGGAGTTTTTGGGATCCCTATACTTCTTTGGTGGACATCAGGCTCCAGGACTGAAGCCGAAAGGGAGCTCCGGAGCTGCGACTGGAAAAGAACATCATCGAGTTTCTCGAAGGCCCGTCCCCTGTTCTCCTTGGGCTGATGTCCCGAGAATGCCTGGCAAAGCTGATCACTTCCCCACCCTAAGGGTCCATGTACTCATATAGTATATACTTTGGCCTTAATGTAGTCCCTATATAGGTACGTTAAGGCCCATGTATATGCTATATGAGTACATGGACCCTTAGGGCCACAACCTCAAGCCGTGCCAAGCAAGTCCGACGGAGTTTTTGAACACAGTGTCAAGGCAACACTGCCCGGGCCTTGCAGACTCCTGCGGCTGAGTTGTTCCGCCTGCTGCAGCTGGACGGCCCAGTTTGGGTCTTGCATAGGTCGTATGGTCAAGGGTTTATAGGACTTAGGGCCTTTACGGTTTGGGGGTGGTCTGCTTGTTCAAGGTTCCTGGGCAAGGCGTGTTTGTAGAAGTTTGTCTAAAGAGAGTTGAGGCTGAGGTGTAGGGCCCGTGTAGGTAAAGGATTGATGGGCAGCAATTGTGAAATGCTACCCTGGGGACTCTAAGATTGTAGGACACCGTACCCAGACTCTGGCGAATGTTGTACGATATATTATCTATCTAACTATCTACCTATCTACCGATCTATCTATCTATCTATCTGTCTGTCTATGTATACGATAGACTATAGACTATAGTGTGTGCATATATAAATTTTTAAATATAAGTAAATATATATATATATATAGATATATGATAAGAACCATAACTGAGCAATGATCAAGTTATGGGAAAGCTATGTCAGGAGCTAGACAAAAGGACCCCAGTGGTTGGGGTTTGGGGCTACTGGAAACAATGTCGCACCAGATAAATTTGCCGCTTAAGCAGACAACCCTCACAACCATTTGACGAAATGAGTTCCCTCGCATGCCATGACAGATTGACATTCAGCAGTAGCAACAGATGACAGTGGGAAGGACTTAAAGAAAGACCTCTGACAGCAGCAACAGCAAGTGAACATTGTCGCAACTGAAGTCTTAGTTCCAACTTCGGTGGGGCCTCCGGAAGACGACCTTGCAAGCGAAGGATGCCGGCCAATTCCTCGACGGTTCCTGAACAGAGTGGTCGTTTAGGGCTTTGGGCTTGGTGCTTAGCGTTTAAAGCTCGGTCACAGTGCAGGCATTACCACTGTTTAGCTCTCAGGGTATGAGGGACTCAGGATTTCCAGTGCTGGCCCTACCTGCAAGTTCTCTGGAGTGAAGTTCCATGCACGGTTTTGTTCACATGATGGTGGCTACGGGTTTGGGTTTGTGAGACGATTTCCATGATGCATGCCTTGTCAGGCGCTGTTTAGGGGTTGCCGGCCCCTGGGCTTCATGCTTTGATCGCCGTTTGCTGTTTGTGGTCAGGAGCTAGCAGCTAGTTGCATCTGACTGTTCAGAGCACAACGGAACTCATGCAAACAGCTGTGGCAACGCCAGAACATACCAGCGGTGAGTTCTCTTGTCACCCTTCCGAAAATCCGTTTCAGAGTCGTCTCCAAGCCACCTGAAAAAAACAGGCACAGAAAGCCCAAAGTCAAAATGCCACTGAAGCCCGTCATGCCGTTTAAAATCAAAATGCTCGTTTCTATAATTAAGCCTCAAGTGAGAAGTTATTCGGGGGGAGAAGTCTTAAGTGAAGGCAGAGTGCTTTGAACCTGGGGTATGTGCTCTTCAACGCTCAGGTCGATACCTACATTGGCTTCACAAGCCCTACTGGCCCTACTGCATACGCCAGAAGCCCTTGAACTAGAACTTTCAATCACCCCGAAACTGTGAAGCCGTAAACCCCACACATGACAGCCAAGACATCAATCCTGAAAGGCTAGATCGTAAGTGAAGCTCCCAAGATGGGGGTTTCCGAAAATAGGGGATCCCAATATAGATAGTAGGATCCTTATTATAAGGACCCCAAAATAAGGTACCCCTTATTTTCGGAAACTCCCAGATGAACCTGAAAGCACAGTCAAGATGCGAAGAGTCTCCAGTCGCCCTTTGCCCAGATCCTGCAGGTTTGGATCAGGGTCGTTTGCGACATGGTCCCGAAGTCTCATCGGAACATTCTATGCTAGGGGTTGTAGGGATTGTCAGGTTATATAAGGTGCTGAACTACACCTCAATGTTGAAAGCAAACATGTTGGTTCAGGACCTGGGGGCTCCAGTCGTGTTAGAGGTGACCGCGTAGCCCGCAAGCCTCACTAAAAAACTTCATGTCGAAATGAACGTCTTCTGCAGCATGTTGAGGATAAGCGACCCTCGAACCCCACATCTGGCCTAAGGCTCCCAACTTACCACTGCAAACCCAACCTGAAGTAAAAGAACTCTACCAGACCCAGCTGCTAAATCCAGACTTTACAAAGGGCCCTTGAAACCAACCCCTGGCCTTCTCTTTGCTTTCGAGAACTTTTCTGCACAGCTCCTGCCAGAGTCTGGGTCTCTTTGTGGCTCGGCGTTGACGCTTCCCACTGGGCCCGCCACTACGCAATCAACCCTAGACCGGCGAGGATTTGCGGCTTTCGATGACTTACGAAGTTCTAGGCATCGTCTGCCGGATTGAACTCGGCCATCCATTTATCTGTGCTCACGGCAAGTTCTCCTTACACTCGAGTAACGACGAACTTCAACTCTGGGATGCAGCTTTGTCATACACAGCTGGTGCCTGTTGTTTCTACGGTCTGGAGTTCAGGATTGAAGTGGTTTAGGGCAATGGAACTCTTTAAGGCCTACAGTTTGACAGAGTGCAGGCTCTAGGCAAGCATACAGGCAACAATCCAACAACAAAAACGATAGGGTTTAGGGTTTAGGGTACCTCTCAAAGCGGAACCCCTCTGTCCTCGGCGTCGACATACTTCCCATTGGCCTTCCTCGGGCGCAGCTCTTTGTCTGAGTCTTGGGAAACCCATCCCCATACCCAATGCCCAAGTCCAAGCACCAGAAACCTCAAACCCTAAACCCCACAATGCAAGTCCGACTGCCTGCGCTGATTCCAGAGCGACGCTGCTACCGAGCGACAGAAGAGCGACGATGCGTGCGGCGACGTCCCGCCAAGATGCGGGGTCCGGTGGTTCTTGGATTTTGTAGCCTGGCTGCCACTTCTTGGCGAAGTGGTGCTCACAATATGACTGCGCATCTCAAGTTCAAAGTTGAGTCGCAGGGGGGCTGTTCTTGGCAGGGTCAGCGAGACAACAGCACGACAGCAGCTTGCCTTCAATATACAGGATCGCCAAACATGGATGGCTCTTCAACTCCCAACCGATGCTGGCAAAACTAGACAAGTAACTTGCCTCTCATGTCCGGTAGAATGGCAGAATCATGCTCTGCTCCCGTAGCAACCCTTCGCCCGACCCTCGATCGCAACAATCTGCACAAGTTTCACAAAATCACAAAACTATACAGCTCACCGCGCGGATCAGGTGAAGAAACCCCAGGTGCCTTAGAGCCTAAGCCCGGCACACCTAAGAACGAACCGTCTCATCTTGCACCTGCTGAACCTAAAAACCCCTAAGCCCCGATAAACTTGTAAAACTCTGATTGAATCCGCATACTGTAACCCTATATGCTAATTAAAATCCTGCTCTCAGAACCCTTCAACCCCAAACCCAACCGTGAACCTACCGGTCAGCCGCCTTCGAGCGCTCGCTTCAGCAGAGCTTCGGCTTCCGGAAGCTCCACCTGTTGGTGACAGTCAGGGATTTGGGGGCTTACGTTTAGAAAGCTGTTCTTGCGCAGGGCGCGGACGTTTGGTATATATCCACAACAAGCGGAGATTCAGATTAAGAAGCCTAGTTAGGCCCTAACCTAGCCAAACCCCAGTTCATTAATTACAAGCTCCAACGTAAGCCACAGAAAGGCTTGCTGCATGAGGCTCCCCAACGGAACCTGCAAGCGCCAGATTAACCTCCAGACCGCAATGCATCCGCACGCGCCACAAACGCTTGCGTAGAGGAAAACTGCCCAAATCTCTGCAGAACCCCATAGACTTGCAAGCTTTGACATTGGGAACTTTAGGCATGCACGGCTCCAGGTTTTCAAAGCGCCTGGTCGACGAGGAGAATCCCTAGACGTGTGACCGTCGCCAGAGTGTCCGGGTGGGTGGGGCCCAGGTGAACTTCACGGCCTTGGAGAGTCAATCAACTTTAGATAGGAATTAGAAAGAGTCTAACCTCGTGCCTAGAAGTGCGTAGGGTTGATTTTCTGGTTTTATCATTCAGACTTACATATGAGGCTTTAAGATGACATCAGATTACACGTTTTGAGTCATTGAGATGAGGATTCAATCTGTAGTCGGGGCATGGTATCTTCGGCTCCTTGTCAGGAAGATTGGGAGATGGTTTCCGAAGACAAGGCTTGCGCAGTAGTGTACACCGCTCATCAATGAACCTCATTTGTGGAGGCCGGAGGTTTCTAATCCATAGTACGAAGGGGCAGTTTATTCAAAGGTTGACATTGTCTAGGATCTTGAGCAAGACTCATGATCGGCAACTGTTCATGTAGGTAGCGGTGCTTTTGCTTGTTTTGCAAAGGTGCCCTCACACGTCACAGGTTATTCCTCGAAAGATGCTTCAAGGGGATTTCCACTTGCCACATGGCAGGCACTGCGCTTCGGGGCTTGCATGCGTCGGTTCTCCCGAAATCAAGAGAACATGAACTCAGACTGTCGTGACTCGTAACCCTAACCCTACATCAAAGCTTCGAAACGCTGAGGCCCCACACCTGAAGCCCAGAAACCCCCGACCCTACAAGTCAATCTGGTATCCAAATACAGAGCCCTGAAACTTGGATTTGGCCCAATGCCCACATCCAAAATCTAAAGAGTTGACAACGAGACCACCCAAAAACACGCCTTCACGCCCTGCTCCAGTTAGAAGTGCTGAATTCAGGTACAACGAGGGTCAGTAGTCGCTCTATGTATAATGCCGTATAACCTATAACTGAGACAACCTTCAGGAACACTGTGCTCACCACTGCGGCATTCGCCGCATCCCCCACTTGCTCCTGAAAGACCTAAAGGGACCTCCAAATCATCTGTCTTCCTAAATAGCACTGAAACCCATGGCACATGGGCCACCAGTACATGTGATCTGGGCATAATAATCGGCGTTTCCACATTCCAAGTTGCACCAAAGAACTTAGGAGTCTAGGACTGAAGTCTTTGGCCCAGAACTGTCTCTGCCTGAATACCCACTTCGAAGGAGGATACTTATGGCCACTTGCAAAAGATGCCGACCAAATGGCCGCTGAGAACCTGCTTGAACAGCTCCCTCGCATCCTCGGGTCCTTGTCTCGGAGGAGACCGACATTGCTCTGCTGTAACTGTGGGCTTAGAGCTTGCTCGGATTTCATGTTTCATCGAGTCCGGAAGAACTCCACAGGTCTCTAGGTCTCTGTAATTCTGGCGTAGGGAGTTTTGGGACTTTCAGCCGAAACCAAACAGCCCTGAGTGCATTGGGAAATCATCAGCCAGGTCAGCCGGGATCATGCGCAACAAGCCTCCCACTGCTTCTCCCCACGGTTTTGATCCATGCACCAGAAAATGCCAGGATTGAACGCCCCACCAAAGTTTTCAGAGTCGAATGGTGGGAGGCTATTGCTGTACTTAGTGACCAGTTCTTACCCATGGGCGCCATAGTAGTTCCTTTTTGGGGTTCATATTTAGAATCCTCTAAGGTAATCCCCAAAAAGGAACTACTTTGGGGCCTATGGGCAGTTTGGAGTCCACTGGGTCGAAAGTTGGAGCCCAAACTGGCGCTCTGCTCCATCGCGCCAAGGCGACGGGAAATCTCTCCAACACTTGCCCTCCAACCTGGCGCCCAAACCCCAAAAAACCATGAAGCCCTTATTCCCCTAAACTCTGAACCACCGATCCCAACCCTGAACGCCTAAAGCGTGGAACCCCAAATCCCCTAAATCAGGTAAGGATCTTCCCTGGGCACACAGAATCTCCGCAAGCTGCATCGACGACGACCTCTGTTGCAGTCTGAGAATGGGCTGAGGGACTTTGCAGTTCTGGTTGATTGGTTTGGTTGCTGAGGCTGTTTGACAATAGGATGTCTGACTGCCCTGAACCCTGCCTTTGCAATGCCATGTGGACACTACATACCGAAACGGAAGAGCTCAATGGGCTGTATGGAGGCCCTAGACCCATTGAAATGCACTCCCAACCCATGGCCCTGGGCCTTCCAGGATTATCATGGTCTTTGGGGTTTGGAAATTCGCCGTCCGCCTCCTCAAAACGAGGACAGGGACGAAGAATGAAGAATGAAGAAGCTTCCATAAACCAAAGCATCTTTGCAGTGCAGGAGCATCACGGCAGGATGCATGCCACCCAACTTCTGAGAAGCCTCGCAAGCGGCTGGCCTCTAAAAAGTTAGCTCTACTACAAGTAAGATGGTCGAACCATACTCAGCCGGAAGCATCAACTTTCCGAATTTAAATTACTCGACTGAACTCCCAAATCCTTAAGATTCCAGACAAAACGAAGTAGGTGGCATCTGTACACTTTAGACGCACACCATAAAGTAGGTGTCACGTGTAGACTTGGGCCATTAGGGGGATGTGGATCCCTTCGGGGTCTAGCGGAGTGTTGGCAGAAGGATGCTCGCAGGTGTGGGCGGGTGCTACTCGGGCTTGGTGGCTTCCTGTCATGCAGGCGCAGCCTCGGGCAAATGATGGCCAGAATTCACCTCTTCGAAACGATGATGTCAGTTCCTACACCGTTTATGTGTTTATCACACTGATGCTGGTGGTGGTGCTGCTGGCTGTGCTTGATACAGAAAGGTTAACAGATCTGCTTGGATGTTAGATCTCACCCATGTCTTTCGTCTTCCGGCAAGAGCTGCTTTCGATGACCGTATCGGCATTTGTCGTTGGTGGTGCCATCGTCGCACCAGAGCCATTGGAATGATCACGATGATGCTGCTCGAGAATGATGGGGTTGGGTTATCATGGCGCTGGGATGATGACGATGACGATGACGATGTGGAAGCGGGTGACGATTATGATGGCGTAGGTAACGTTGCTGTCGCTGCTAAAGACTAAAGGTGATGACGGCGATGACGACGACGATGTCAAGGATGTTGAGCTAGATAAAGAACGATCAGTTCACCTCACCGAACAGCAGGCTTCCAGGTGAAAAAACCTACAAGGAAGCGCCTCGGACTGGTCACGGCGTAGCAGGCGTTCGGCGGTCGCCAAGTGTCCCTCCTCCTGGAAACAGATCTTGAGCGAATCCTTTTTAGCGGGCATGCGGCATATCAGGCAGGATCACGAGGTCCACGCCCCGTCCAGTCTCTCCAACACGCAGCATGGTAGGAATCTCATGTAAGCACTTTACAGCCTCTGTATGGGAGTCTCTTAACATGGCATCGAGCTGATCTGCAATGACGGTATGGTGATAGTCTCAGCAGATCCAAATCACCTACAATTGATGATCAGACAGCTCCATTAATTCTGGCACCTGCATGTTCAACGATCTCCTGACGCTACAGACTATTATCCTTAGAAGCGACAACGTAGCTTCCAGGAACTGAGGCACCCCTTTTCGACAGGCACGCTGAAATCGCTCCCCTCACGAGGAACGCCGACTGCAACAGCTTCATCAATCAACTCGGCCCCAGCTTCTGCGTCTTCAGCGTCCCGGACAGCGGCAGGCCCCATCTCTGAGAGAGCATGGCTCTCCGAATCTTCGCCGAGCGGAGGCCGACTGAGGGTCCGGGTGGGGCGTTCAGCAATCTGGGCGATCTCCTCACGGAATGGCTTCAAGTTTCCAGTGCCTATCGGGTCGATGATGGCAAAGACCACCTGGGAAGTATAGGAAAAGGATCAGGGCTCCCTAGCTCCCTAACCCCAAACCCTGACCCTAAACCCGAACCCCAAGTTGAGAAGACTTTCAGAAACTCCCACCTGGCCAAAGGCCCCCCGAAACGCCGGGGACGCGAGCTCTTCGCGAAAGATCGCCGCCGTAGGCCGTGCCGGGTTCCCAAATGCTCCACATCCGAAAGCTCCCAAAACGAGGTTGGCATGGCCAGATCTGAGATGGAGGGCGTTCATACCCATAGGCCCCATAGTAGTTTCTTTTTAGGATTGCCTTTTTAGGATTCTAAATATGAACCCCAGAAAGGAACTACTTTAGGGCCTATATGGGTATGGGGTAGTCTAGCATAGTGTAGCATAGTATATGGTATATCGTATAGTACACAATGGTCTAGTGTAGCAAGGGTCGAGTATACATAGTCTTTTATCGTGCAATCCATCTTATTGGGTGTTAGAGCATGGGGCCTCGGGGTTAAGTGGGGTTTGGGCCTGTAGAGGTTGAGGGCCTCCGGCATTGGATTTACAAAGGGACGAAAGTGCGATGGAACGGCCACATGCAGATTCGTTCTGATCCTCAAGTTCCGGCCGCCCACACTCCATTACCCACAACACTCATTTGCGGAAAACTTTTACGCTTGAAGCAAATTGTGTCATGCAGAGTCCTCACCTATAATTCAAAGAGGGCACTGGTGTACAAAGTCTGGAATCCCACGCAGGCTCAGAGATGGCCCACTCACCGCCAACCCCAAGCTCCGACCAGACCCTGCAATCCATACCAGAGCAAAACCTGATGAGCCAGACCCGGACGAGCCTAAACCCGATCGCCCGATCTGAAGTCCTGCCTGCCTGAACTATCCAAAGTCGAATCCTAACCCTTTGGCAGCTGAGCCCAGCAGCTGCTTGGCGGCATGGAGCACCGAGCGGATACGCAGCGACACGTCCGCAGCCCACGGTGACTTGGCCCAGCCGCCCTACCAAGGGGCATTCAGGGATCAAGCCTTCGGGCCTACGGGTTGCGTGTTTTTTCAAGAAATGCCGGTTTAAGGGCTGTGGGGTTCAGGTGCTTCGTGTCTTGATTGGCGCTCTCGTTCTGTATCTCAGGTACATACAGCCCCCGAACCAGAAAACCCTGAATACGCATGATGCAAGAAACAGTGTGCATATAAAGAGGCTGCTCATGTTTATATATTTTAGATAGATGGATAGATAGATAGTTAGATAGGTAGATGGGCAGATAAATAGATAGGTAGGTAGATAGACAGATAGACAGATAGACAGATAGACAGATAGACAGATAGACAGATAGACAGATAGACAGATAGACAGATAGATAGATAGATAGATAGATAGATAGATAGATAGATAGACAAGTAGATGGGTACGAGTAGATAGGTCGATAGGTAGATGGATAGGTATAGACAGACAGATAGATCTAGGCAGAATGATAGATTTTGTTGGTTATAGATAGCTGCGTGTATAATATACACACAGCTACACATCCGTGTGTATACAAACCAGAACAATCACATGGAGCCCTTCTGGTTGTCGTCTAGACTATTCAATACTCATTGGCTGCTGTACGGTCTGCACGGGGGCAGAAGGATTCCCGTTGGGCATTGGGAAACTGCTCGGGGAGTCGAAGGTTTGGGAGCATATGGAGCCCGTTTATCGGTCCGTGCTTAAGGGTTCCAGGTGTAGGTGTGTCGTAGCCAATTTGGGGCCAAGACAGGAGGGGGTATAGGATGCAAGAACTTCGGAGCAAAATCATGAGCAAAGTGAGCCTTGCTGCGAGCACGGCTCCCTGATCAATATTTTTTCAATAATCGCGGGATCGGCCCACACCCTACGCGTGAAACATTGAAATCCTCAATACCCTCCACCTAGGACCAAAATCCGATCTCCTATATAACAGGCACCTTCGGTCGCCGATCAGCAGCACCGCAGGGCATCGCAGCAGTTCTGGAAGAGTCGTGCATGTGGGTTCGGACCAGGTTGCTGGTTCAGGGTTCATTTCGGGGATGAGATGCTTGATCGGCATATGGACTAAATGGCGTGGCACTAGTTCGAAAGCAAGGCGAACTATCGTGTCATTCAGAAAACATACCTTGGAGTTGCACTACTGCTTGGGCCATGGGTCCCGTGTTATGAGGCCCCGAAGGTTGCGCTAAGGCGAAGGAGCCTGCTTCAGCTTATAATGCGGGCGTTTATCTGGGCATAGTTCGGTTCCAAGTGCTCTGTTTCGGTTTATAGACCTTATTACCCATAGCCCCCAAAGTAGCTCCTTTTTGGGATTACCTTAAAGGATTCTAAATATGAACCCCAAAAGGAACTACTGTGGGGCCCATGGGTATACAGCAAAGAGGAAAACCGTGCTGAAAAGCCTCGCAGGCACAGAACGGTAAGGGAGCCGAGACCTGGATACAACGCAGCGCTGCAAACACTTCCCAGGAAGCTTTCCTTCCGGGGAGACTGAGTTGGGATCATGACTGTGGACAGCATGCGCCACTTGCTTTTCTTTGCCCAAGCTTCTATACAGACATCGTGGTTTGAACAAGGGATACTGTAAGCCTACTATGACGGAAAAATACAGCTGCGTCCCAAAACAAAGCCAGAAACTGGGGCAGGGAGCGTAGGTGCCAGGCTTCCTCAGAGCCAGAAGGTCTCGAGCTACCAGAACTGTTCCCGGAGGGATCCTGAACTTGGAGGTGCTCAAGGAAGCGCAGGTTTTCGGAGTTAGGGTTTGGCGCATACCTCGGTCTTTGTTTTGTGGCGGTCTTACTGTAGCTTCTTTTGCTTTCCGTGCCCCTAACAGAGGTTCTTTAGGTTCTCTCGGGCGCGCTCTGCGTCACATGTTGGCTGAGTCGGTAGGGGTAGTGGGGTTGACCAGCATGGCTGGCTACATATATGAGCAGAGAGATGCAACCACAACATCTGCACTGTGCCTTGGCAAGAGACCGCGGGCATCACACAAGCTTTCCCCAAAAAAAACCATGCCAAGAAACTTTGCACATTTATCCCGCAGAATTCTGAGTAACTATCGGGGCTTCGGGTTTGGGGGGGGAGGGGGGGCACATTTTAGAGCCAGGATCGGATATGGCGTGGCTTTGAGGGCCGGGTAGAGCTGCGGCAGCAAGCGGCAGAGATCCTCCTCCTGTAGTGTTTGCAAAATTCGGACTCTCGAAACTACCTATAGTCTCCATTGTAGTTCCTTGTTTGGTTTAACAAAATATATACTAAGGATTTTATAAGGCATCCCCAAAAAGGAACTACAATAGAGACTATAGGTAGGGTCCTTGTTGCGTGAAAACGGTACATGATGCTTACAAACAAGACTATCCAAGGTAGAGCCTAATCTAGATTCAGTATGTCTCAAAGGTAGCTCAGCAGGGTTTCATATTCGTTGTCCGTGCGGGTTAGGAACTCACACGGATTGACAATAATGGTTGGAAGAAGGTACGCTTCTCTCGACCGAAAGCGTTGACGTTTCCTTCCCACTGAGCAGCCTGAAGCAGTGATGAAGCTCGGGAAGTTCATGGTTCAGGGCTAATTGGATCCAGGGCTTCGGGGTTCGGAATTCCGGCGGGAATCAAACTTGTTCCTGACACCATGTGAAACGTCCAGTCTTTAGCGTTGACTATAGCCCTATAGTCACACCACTCGCCGCCGACGTCCAAAGGCATGGAAAGGGTGTTTGGTGCGGGGGTAGTTAGCTCAGGGTAAGGGTTGCAAGTTAGAGCTTGGAAAGAGTGCCGGAGACTCAAAGGCCTGCTACAGAGCGCAAGAGATCCGATGTATCGGGACTGACGTTCGCCAAGCAGCTTCTTCTAAGAGCCATACATCGGAGCCCAGGAATGCCATGTCGTCTTGTGGTTGCTTTCGGGTCCATGAGCTCTTTTCTTAACCAGGTAAGCACACGATGAGCCCCACTGAAACCGAAAAACCGTGAGAGCCCCAAGTTCCGGGTGTAGGATCCAGGAAACTTCGATCCTGCGCCAGCCCACCGCTGCGGTAGCGCCCACCCGGGATGTCGGCGTTGGCGAAGCTGAGAGCAGATGCGTCTCCTCTGTTAGCTACAGTGGCTTCGGGTCTAGATTACTTTTGTGAGGGTTTAGGGTTTATAGGGGCTTCGGGTGTGGGGCCTATGGTTTAGAGTGATTAAGGTTTAAGGGCTTCTGAATTTGCGCCTGTGGTCAGACATGCTTGTAGGGGGCGTCTTCTGCCAACAACGACCCGACAACCTACCCACAGGCGCAGGTGCCTTGAAGAGAATCTGAGCTCACAACGTCGCCTTCTAGAATTTGGGATATCTTTCCAGGGTTTCGGGTTTACGGTGGAAGGCTTGAAGATGAAGGGGTTTCGTTTCGAGATTTCGCCCGACTGTTGTGTACAGTACTTGCCACGGATCAAACATTTGTGATTTAAGGTCCTTGAGCCGAAAGTGAAATCCGAAGTGCTGAAACGTACACGACAAAGCACATGAAAGCTCTGAAAGCCTGATGCATCCCCTTCATGAATGCCAGGCGTCCGAGCACCAGCGCTGCTGTCAGTGTGTCGACATTAGCACAGCAAACCTTTCGTGCGCGGACTTCAAGGCTTGCAAGATTTCTTCTTTGCAAACTGTAAGCTCTGTAGGGAATCTCGGGGGCATTGGATTCCAAAAGGTCCTGTTTTCGCAGTAGGGTCCGGTGGGGTGAGCATGCATTTCGGGCAAGTCCTTGCCGTACCCTACGTTCTGGTCCGGATGTCCGAGTGCGAAAGGGATGGCAGGTTTTGAAGATGCGCCTCAAACCCTGACACCCGAAACCCTGACGAATACTTAATCCCAGTAGACCCCAGAACCTCTCCCCTCCCCTTCCAACAAAAAACGATGGACCCAAAACCGCCCATCCACAACCCACCCCGAAGAACACCTAACTTCCAAAAAAACATTCAGAGCCCTAGTGCCCTAACATAACCTAACATGACACTTCATGTTTCAGACTTGGGCCTCGGTTCGCGCGAAGCGCGGCAGGGAGCTCCGCTCTGACTCGGATGAGGGCCCGGGCTCCGGGAAGGACCAAGCCTTGCGCGTCTTCATGGACGACATAAGTGGGTTTAGGGTTTAGGGTTTAGGGTGGGATAAGTACTCGTTATCGATATGGGGGTTTCCGAATCAAATAATAGGATCCCTATTATAAGGACACCAAAATAAGGTACCCCTTACTTTCTGAAACTCCCATATGTCTTGTCGAGTCTGACTCTTGGTTCGTTGTTGACCATTGAAAGTTTTAAGGCGAAGGTTTGGATCTGTTGTGTTGGCTTGAGCTGTCTGGTCTCGTTCACTGCGGCGTCTACACCTCCGCTCGGGCAGTTCGTCGATCCCTGGGGCTTCATCCTCGCTTTGAAGGCAAGTGTCTGGCACTCTCGGCAATAAATACTGAAGAGTCGAAACATGCTCAAAGCCTGGAAATTAGAAACCTCATCTGCAAAACAGTGCACCCCAAGCTCGAAAGGCACGAATGCCCGCCAAGAAAGCGCCCCGTCAGCCGCAAACCACAGCGAAGCCAACCGATGCCATGTAGTGAGCAACTCGAACCTGAACAATCCAGTCAACCCTAATTATCGGAATGTGCCAGCCTCAAGGCAAAACTGAAAAAAGGACAACGGCCTCAACCAAACTTCTTTAGCAACACGCGGAAACAATGCCCATCAGCCCTGAAACTGTCAATCTTGACCCCCAATACATGGTAGGGCCTTAAACATGTGAAACCATGTACAGTGCACAGCATAAACCCCAAACTCTGGTCTAAGCCGGCTTGTCTATTGGGAACGCTTCGTGCTTCAGGCCTCGGCGACCACCGGCGGGACGGGTTGCCAGGGCTCCCCGAAGCCTCCGTGCTGGTGGATCAGGTCGTTGGCTTCGGCGATGCCCTTGAGGTCAGTAGAGTAGAGTGATGTGAAGTTTCGGGTGTTGGCTTTGCGTGGGCTTTTGGGGCCCTTGGTCCTAAATGGAACATTTAAAGTCTGGGGCTGGCAAGGGTTAAGGATTGAAGGTTCCTTGTCCCTAAATTAAATCAACCCTGAATTGTAAACCTGCGGCCCAACCCACCCACTGCCGATACGGAGCCCTAAAGCTAAAACCCCATCTCACACCCGATTCGGGAGTTTCTACCAAGTAGACAAATTGCCAGAGGCGCCTCACAGGGACCTAGACCTTACGGATCCTGCCAGCATTCGAGAGGCCTAGTTCTCAGAACTACCTACTTGCTACCTGACCACTTTTACGAACCGAGCTGCTAAGACGAGAGAGACCTATGCTAAAGCTACTGGACCAGAAACACTAAGCTTCAAGTTCAAACCCTAGAGGCCCTACAGCCGTACTCGAGAAATCCATGCAGCTGCATTTTCTTCTATCATCGAGGGAAAGGATTCCCGAAAACGGGGTCCATCATTCCCAGAATCATGTTTCAACTTGCAGGCCTTGACTGCTGACCACTTCTCTCTGTAACGGTTCGCCTCCAGCCGTCTGCAAAGATCGGCGGAGAGGTGAAAGTAGTGGTCACTCATGGCTCTAAGTTCAGATACAGGGGTGTTACTGTAGGGCCGACTGCAGAGTTTACTACTGAGCTGTGGCGGCGTAGCGTTTTCAGGCCTGTTCAAAGCGTACGGGCTAGGGGTATAGTACGGCAAGGGCTGCATGCAGCTTCGCCGCTAGGGCGTAGACACGCTAAACAGCTACAACCATCCTTCACTGGATAGAGAGCCCCAATGCACAAACCTTGACTCCCAAACCTCGTAGCGTTCCCGTTGTAGGGCCTAGGCTTTCGGGTACTTTGGTTGAAAGTCATTGGTCTTGTGTGGGTCTTTTCTTGGGTCTTGGGCTCGAGGGGTTTGGGACCTAGGCGCTCCGTTGGAGGCGCTGGCCCCTTGAGCCACGCAAACATGCAAACATTGCCCAGGAACTCTGGAAAAGACCGTAGCCCTAAACCCTGACAAGCCAACAAGCCCTAGAAATCCTAAACTGCACCCAACCCTAAACAGCCAGGGGGCCAACTATGCGTCGTTTTCAGTGGGCTGTGGAGTTTGCCTTAATTGGGGTTATATTGACAAGGGTGGGGGGGGCTCCCTTTGTTGGATGCCCTTGTGATGAGGATACCAAATGTTCGGACTGGCTTTGATGCACAAAGTCTTTAAGTTTTTAAGCCTCTCCATGCCACAGACCCTTTGTATCATACCTCGATGTCGCGAAAAAGCCACAGGATAATTCCAGGCAACTTCTTTGAGGCTATGCGGCTACCTGGTTTACACCGAACAGTATCCCGAGGATAGCGAAGCACAGCCAGAGTCAGGCATCGCTTTCAGCGTTGAGGTTTAGGGTTTCTTACAGGGTTAGAAGTTTAAGGTAGCTAGCAATGCTGTCTCCTGGCCAGGGTACCAGGCTCAAAGGGTTGGAATTGGAAACTGCATATATATATATATATATATATGTGTGTGTGTGTGCGTATACGCATTCAGCACATATACACAGTTGTGAAATGTGCGTATGTTTAAGTGTGTGTGTGTGTATGCAAAAATATATACAGAGTATGGATACCTACGACCTACGGAATGTTCATCATATTCAGGCCCCTCTGGTGAGGTATCCAGTGCAGGTTCCAACCCTCAGTGTCGCTCTCGTCCTGCAGCAGCTTCGCCAACGAACTGATACAGCCGAAAGCCTCTTCAAGCTTGTTCTGGTCTCTCCTCGGTATTGGGCTTGCACGTTTTAGTTTAAGTTGAAGGCTGAAGTACAAAGGGCTCAGCGGGGGCAGTACAGTAGTGCTTATCCGGCCGGCAGAATGCCTCCGCAGCATCCCTGTGTGAGATCACGGCATTCAGGGACATATGAGTCCTGCTCCACATGATGACTTCTGATTACTCAGGTCCGTAGGTCCGTACTGTGGTACTGATTCAGATCGGCCCCCATTAGTTGTCTTCCCCTGAACCTAAGCATCCCTGAACCGAAACAGCCAAACTGCACCAAGGCAGCAGCAGCAGCAGCAGGAGCAGCAGGAGAAACAGCCACGTCAGCAATATCAGCTACTACGACGTTGCTGCGAGTAGTATGTTCCAGAAGCATCCTCCTTTTTCACATCACCGTCACCCTAGCGTTCGTGGCGGGTTAGGCATGCTTCGCACAAACCGTGTCACTGCCGAGAAAGACCAAGCGATTCAGCCCAGCCGGCCCCCGAAGGCCCAAAAGTCTAGGCTAGAAAAGGCTCCGAATCTCAAAGTTTGTGCGGAGGAACTCTCGAAAGTCAGTGAGGACTCTTTGCGTCACATAGGAGCGCGTGTGCTTAGGATGGGCTTGCACATAACTGGCACAGGGCACACAACTCACGGTAGGCACCAACATCAGCAGCAACAACAACCACAACAACAACAACAGCCACCCTCCACAAACACAAAGCAACGACAATCACGAGCACGATGACTGAAACCACTATCTCGGGCAAGCACCACAACTTCGTCATTACCACAACGAGTGCGACCACCACACCCCATCCTGTTCGTCGTGTTCCTTCTAGTGCAGCCCTGGACAATTTGAGGGCGTGGGTGTTAAGGCCAAAGACCAGCGAAAGCCCCGCAAACTCTGCATTCGCCGGAGCGCAGCAGTGCTGAGAGCTTCCAGGCAGAGGAGAGGCTGTGCCTCTCACGGCATTCTTGCATTTTGCACACTGGCCGAAGGAATAAAATAGCTATAGTCGGTAGTGTTCAATGGAATGCAGGGCTTCGCGCTGAGAGTCTGGAGCTCTGCCGTGAGGTTCAAGCGAATATTTACATACAGAGTTCGGTGCTCACTTGACTTTGAGCCCTTAGGGCTTGGACGTCCTAAGGGGCTAAGGATGTAGGGGAGTTTGCGGCTTGGGGTCTTCTACTTTTGCGGAAAGATTTCCAGCGCCATGGAACCTCAAACACCTAAATCCAGAGCAGCTTGAGCGGAGACACCTGCTGCCCCGCTTCTCTGCAGCCAAGGGGCGGATGAGAGGGGCCCAGGTGCTTCTGCCGTTCCTCCAACAAGAATTCCCGATTGAATGTTTGGTACACCCTACAGCAATGCAGACTCCCAGGCCGCTTGATATGTATATATATATATATATGTTTATTTATTTATTCATTGCTGGGACATCCGAGGCTTCCAGCTGTTATTGGCTTCAGGAGTTCTGCTCCGGTTACCTCCAGCAGCTCATGGCTTGAGGACTCGGGTTTGCGTCCTAGGGTTCGGGAGAGATTCATGATGCTTATCCTATCGGTCTCAGATTCGGTCACCTTTGGCTCACTATCAAATGTTGACTAAGGCTTTAGCTACTCATCTTGAAACACTTCGTGCACGGCTCAGGAAGCAATCTTCTGCCAGCCTCTGGCCAAGCATGGTGTTGCTACGGTAAGACGTAAAGAACTTGCAGTTCAGGGCTTCCTTCTCCGTCCCGAAAATCTTAGTCTAAAAGCCGTGTCAAACCCACATCGCGAATTCTGCAATCGATGCCAAGTTCCCCTGAAACCTTCAACGTGTTTTGAAGAGCTGATCCGCTGCTCACTTGAAGCCCAATCTCAACCTCGTTTCATGTGCTGTCCTGTCTCTCCCTGTCTTTCGACAAAAAGACAGTCAGGTAGATCGATACACCAGATAGACAGATAGACTAGACATTGTAGTGTCTATGCGGTCATTGACACACAATTGAAACTGTGCGCTTAGCTGTACGCTTAGCACACAGGCTGGTGTACTGACATGTATACATGGCCATCGTCATTGCCACAGTTCTGGTGTTTGGGTAGACATCTGCCACGAATGACGCCCATGATTCATAATATGGAAACAGACACAAACGTACCAAAGAACGACAGGAGTTACACAACCTGTGCAAAGAGAGAGCCCACCGACAGGAGTTACAACCTGTGCAAAGAGAGAGCCCGCGCCTCGAAGCACTGCAGATCAACTCTAATCCGTACTACAGCTCCACGAACCAAAACAAACTAAACAGCCCTACCCAAGCCCTCGGCCGTCTAAAGCTCCACATTCAACAGGAACAACCACTCCTCCCCCCCCCCCCCCCCCCC